GACAGTGAGACATACTTTGGGTTCAAACAGCAGACACTGTTTGACAGTGAGACATACCTTGTGTTCAAAGAGCAGACACTGGGTGACAGTGAGACATACCTTGTGTTCAAACAGCAGACACTGTGTGACAGTGAGACATACCTTGTGTTCAAACAGCAGACACTGTGTGACAGTGAGTCATACTTTGTGTTCAAACAGCAGACACTGGGTGACACTGAGACATACCTTGGGTTCAAAGAGCAGACACTGGGTGACAGTGAGACATACCTTGTGTTCAAACAGCAGACACTGTGTGACAGTGAGACATACTTTGTGTTCAAACAGCAGACACTGGGTGACAGTGAGACATACTTTGGGTTCAAACAGCAGACACTGGGTGACAGTGAGACATCCTTTTGGTTCAAACAGCAGACACAGGGTGACGGTGAGACATACTTTGGGTTCAAACAGCAGACACTGTGTGACAGTGAGACGTACTTTGGGTTCAAACAGCAGACACTGGGTGACAGTGAGACATACCTTGTGTTCAAACAGCAGACACTGGGTGACAGTGAGACATACCTTGTGTTCAAACAGCAGACACTGGGTGACAGTGAGACATACCTTGTGGTCAAACAGCAGACACAGGGTGACGGTGAGACATACCTTGTGTTCCAGCAGCAGACACTGGGTGACAGTGAAACATACTTTGGGTTCAAACAGCAGAAATTGTGTGACAGTGAAACATACTTTGGGTTCAAACAGCAGGCACTGGGTGACAGTGAGACGTACTTTGGGTTCAAACAGCAGACACTGTGTGACAGTGAGACATACCTTGTGTTCAAACAGCAGACACTGGGTGACAGTGAGGTGAGGTGAGGTGAGGTGAAATTGGGTTTAACGTCGCGTCCAAGATTATTGCACTTATATAGCGACGTGCATGCACGTGTATGTGTGTGTGTGGCTGCTTGTACTAGTCCGGACTGATGCCGATTTATAGTGCACGTTCACTGAGATACCATGCCGCAGTTTAACATGAATACCCCACTCAGACACAGTATACTGACTCCGAGCCGACCAGTCCTTGTTTTAGCCCCTTAATGCCGAGCGCCAGACAGGGTAACAACAAGTACAATCTTTTAACGTCTTTTTGTATGACGCGGCCCGGGATCGAACCCTGGACCTTCCGCTCTCCGGGCGGACGCTCTACCACAAGACCACGGAGGCGGTCGGGTGACAGTGAGACATACTTTGTGTTCAAACAGCAGACACTGGGTGACAGTGAGACATACCTTGTGTTCAAACAGCAGACACAGGGTGACGGTGAGACATACCTTGTGTTCAAAGAGCAGACACTGGGTGACAGTGAGACATACTTTGGGTTCAAACAGCAGACACTGTTTGACAGTGAGACATACCTTGTGTTCAAAGAGCAGACACTGGGTGACAGTGAGACATACCTTGTGTTCAAACAGCAGACACTGTGTGACAGTGAGACATACCTTGTGTTCAACCAGCAGACACTGTGTGACAGTGAGACATACTTTGTGTTCAAACAGCAGACACTGGGTGACACTGAGACATACCTCGGGTTCAAAGAGCAGACACTGGGTGACAGTGAGACATACCTTGTGTTCAAACAGCAGACACTGTGTGACAGTGAGACATACTTTGTGTTCAAACAGCAGACACTGGGTGACAGTGAGACATACTTTGGGTTCAAACAGCAGACACTGGGTGACAGTGAGACATCCTTTTGGTTCAAACAGCAGACACAGGGTGACGGTGAGACATACTTTGTGTTCAAACAGCAGACACTGTGTGACAGTGAGACATACCTTGTGTTCAAACAGCAGACACAGGGTGACGGTGAGACATACCTTGTGTTCCAGCAGCAGACACTGTGTGACAGTGAAACACACTTTGGGTTCAAACAGCAGACATTGTGTGACAGTGAAACATACTTTGGGTTCAAACAGCAGACACTTGGTGACAGTGAGACGTACTTTGGGTTCAAACAGCAGACACTGTGTGACAGTGAGACATACCTTGTGTTCAAACAGCAGACACTGGGTGACAGTGAGGTGAGGTGAGGTGAGGTGAAATTGGGTTTAACGTCGCGTCCAAGATTATTGCACTTATATAGCGACGTGCATGCACGTGTATGTGTGTGTGTGGCTGCTTGTACTAGTCCGGACTGATGCCGATTTATAGTGCACGTTCACTGAGATACCATGCCGCAGTTTAACATGAATACCCCACTCAGACACAGTATACTGACTCCGAGCCGACCAGTCCTTGTTTTAGCCCCTTAATGCCGAGCGCCAGACAGGGTAACAACAAGTACAATCTTTTAACGTCTTTTTGTATGACGCGGCCCGGGATCGAACCCTGGACCTTCCGCTCTCCGGGCGGACGCTCTACCACAAGACCACGGAGGCGGTCGGGTGACAGTGAGACATACTTTGTGTTCAAACAGCAGACACTGGGTGACAGTGAGACATACCTTGTGTTCAAACAGCAGACACTGGGTGACAGTGAGACATACCTTGTGTTCAAACAGCAGACACTGTGTGACAGTGAGACATACCTTGTGTTCAAACAGCAGACACTGGGTGACAGTGAGACATACTTTGTGTTCAAACAGCAGACACTGGGTGACACTGAGACATACCTTGGGTTCAAAGAGCAGACACTGGGTGACAGTGAGACATACCTTGTGTTCAAACAGCAGACACTGTGTGACAGTGAGACATACTTTGTGTTCAAACAGCAGACACTGGGTGACAGTGAGACATACTTTGGGTTCAAACAGCAGACACTGGGTGACAGTGAGACATACTTTGGGTTCAAACAGCAGACACAGGGTGACGGTGAGACATACTTTGGGTTCAAACAGCAGACACTGTGTGACAGTGAGACGTACTTTGGGTTCAAACAGCAGACACTGGGTGACAGTGAGACATACCTTGTGTTCAAACAGCAGACACAGGGTGACGGTGAGACATACCTTGTGTTCCAGCAGAAGACACTGTGTGACAGTGAAACATACTTTGGGTTCAAACAGCAGACATTGTGTGACAGTGAAACATACTTTGGGTTCAAACAGCAGACACTTGGTGACAGTGAGACATACCTTGTGTTCAAACAGCAGACACTGTGTGACAGTGAGACATACTTTGTGTTCAAACAGCAGACACAGGGTGACAGTGAGACATACCTTGTGTTCAACCAGCAGACACTGTGTGACAGTGAAACATACTTTGGGTTCAAACAGCATACACTGGGTGACAGTGAGACATACCTTGTGTTCAAACAGCAGACACTGGGTGACAGTGAGACATACCTTGGGTTCAAACAGCAGACACTGGGTGACAGTGAGACATACCTTGTGTTCAAACAGCAGACACAGGGTGACGGTGAGACATACCTTGTGTTCACACAGCAGACACTGGGTGACAGTGAGACATACTTTGGGTTCAAACAGCAGACACTGGGTGACAGTGAGACATACTTTGGTTTCAAACAGCAGACACTGGGTGACAGTGAGACATACCTTGTATTCAACCAGCAGACACTGGGTGACAGTGAGACATACTTTGTGTTCAAACAGCAGACACTGGGTGACAGTGAGACATACCTTGTGTTCAAACAGCAGACACTGGGTGACAGTGAGACATACCTTGTGTTCAACCAGCAGACACTGGGAGACAGTGAGACATACTTTGGGTTCAAACAGCAGACACTGGGTGACAGTGAGACATACTTTGGGTTCAAACAGCAGACACTGGGTGACAGTGAGACATACTTTGGGTTCAAACAGCAGACACTGGGTGACAGTGAGACATACTTTGTTTTCAAACAGCAGACACTGGGTGACAGTGAGACATACTTTGGGTTCAAACAGCAGACACTGGGTGACAGTGAGACATACTTTGGGTTCAGACAGCAGACACTGGGTGACAGTGAGACATACTTTGTGTTCAAACAGCAGACACTGGGTGACAGTGAGACATACTTTGGGTTCAAACAGCAGACACTGGGTGACAGTGAGACATACTTTGTTTTCAAACAGCAGACACTGGGTGACAGTGAGACATACTTTGGGTTCAAACAGCAGACACTGTGTGACAGTGAAACACACTTGGTGACAGTGAGACATACCTTGGGTACAAACAGCAGACACTGGGTGACAGTGAGACATACTTTGTGTTCAAACAGCAGACACTGGACGACAATGAGACATTTGTTTGGTTCAAAAAACAGACACTGTGTGACAGTGAGACATACTTTGTGTTCAAACAGCAGACACTGTGTGACAGTGAAACATACTTGGTGACAGTGAGACATACCTTGGGTACAAACAGCAGACACTTGGTGACAGTGAGACATACTTTGTGTTCAAACAGCAGACACTGTGTGACAGTGAGACATACTTTGGGTTCAAACAGCAGCCACTGTGTGACAGTGAGACATACTTTGGGTTCAAACAGCAGCCACTGTGTGACAGTGAGACATACTTGGTGACAGTGAGACATTTGTTTGGTTCAAACAACAGACAATTGGTGACAGTGAGACATACTTTGGGTTCAAACAGCAGACACTGGTTGACAATGAGACATACTTTGGGTTCAAACAGCAGCCACTGTGTGACAGTGAGACATACTTGGTGACAGTGAGACATTTGTTTGGCTCAAACAACAGACAATGGGTGACAGTGAGACATACTTTGGGTTCAAACAGCAGCCACTGTTTGACAGTGAGACATACTTTGTGTTCAAACAACAGACACTGGGTGACAGTGAGACATACCTTGTGTTCAAACAGCAGACACTGGGTGACAGTGAGACTACGTTGTATTCAACCAGCAGACACTGGGTGACAGTGAGACATACCTTGTATTCAACCAGCAGACACTGGGTGACAGTGAGACATACCTTGTATTCAACCAGCAGACACTGGGTGACAGTGAGACATACCTTGTATTCAACCAGCAGACACTGGGTGACAGTGAGACGTACCTTGGGTACAAACAGCAGACACTGGGTGACAGTGACACAGAGAATGATGATGCTAGATATGGTGCCGTATTTGAGGGTGATGTTGTTGCGGAGACTGATAGAGACGATGACACCGAGGACGCCGTGGGTTGCCACGTTGTAGACACACATCGCGATGTACCGAGATTCGTTCAGGGAGGAGAACTTCACCTACATGTATTAAATGAGTCAAATTGTCAGGGTCAGTGGGCTAGCAAGATGTTACCTAATCACAACGTCGACCCGTGTTTAATCCCTGATGATTGTGAACTTATTTTTGGTGGAATATTGCGCGGAACCCAAATGCCTGATTGAAACACTCAGTCAGCAGTCAGCAATATTCGAGCATGTTTAGGGCGGTCTGTAAATAATCGAATCTGAACCAGACAATCAAATGTTGGACAAAATGATTGATATCATGAGCATCGATCTACGCAATTAGGATACGATGTCCTGCATCAACCAAGTCAGCGAGTCTGACAACTCGATCCCGTTAGTCGCCTCCCACGACAAGCATAGGTTGAAGGCCAAATGTAACCCGGATCTTCACTGGTCGAAACACTAAAAATATATATTTGATATTAATGATCACACATATGTAGCCTGTACATATTCTTAACGTTTATATATTTCAAGAAATGCAGATTAATCCGACTGTTTTGTAATGGTTATAACGCTGTGAACGAGTGTTTGACAGCATCAGCAACGATCCACCCCTTTTGGGAACGATGACAAAATCATATCACACATTGCAGCTATCAACATACGTTGGCTATGTTAAGCTCCATACAGCGTGCCACCCCTGAGATGGAGCTTGCTCCAAGAAAAACGGACATGTGGAGATGGAGTTTATTCTTAACGAAATTTCTGTTTCCAAACTTACAATTGATTTTTTAAACAAAATCACCTTCCTAGTTTCCCAGGCTAAAAATCCACCAAGAAGGAGACACACGCCCTGCACCGTCCCTATGGCTGCCAGAAAGTAGTTCTGATTGGAGGAAGAACAGTAACGAACTACAGGCTGGATGATGACGTCATCTTTCACCTCTCTCTGTAAGAAAAAGAGGAATTGTAAAAAATGCATTCAAAGTCAACCAAAGTAGGCATGTCTAAAAGGCTTATTTCTAACCAGAAGAATGGTGTATTTGACAAATCGAATATTGCATATTATAATGTTAAAATTAACAGGCCAAACATATCCTTCCCACATTGCGTAGAAAGGGGCGGTCGGGTAGCCTAGTGGTTAAAGCGTTCGCTCGTCACGCCGAAGACCTGGGTTCGATTCCCGACATGGGTACAATGTGTGAAGCCCATTTCTGGTGTCCCCCGCCGTGATATTGCTGGAATATTGCTAAAAGCGGCGTAAAACCATACTCACTCACTCACTCACTCACTCACATTGCGTAGATCGATGCCCATGATGTCAATCACTGGATTGTCATGTTCAGACTGGATTACTTACTGGACCGCCGTCATATCGCTGAAATATTGTTGAGTGCGGCAACAAACAAACGAAGCGTATAAAGCTGAGATCGCTTTGCGGAACGGGAAACATATCATGGGTTTGTGTGGCGTGAGTGGGTGGGGTGTATTTGGGTCTTATTCGGACCCGGAATCCCCTGGCGATGCTCACCTTCTCTTTGACCTCCATGACGATCAACGTCTGTGGATCCACCAGGCTCCAGATGATGAGGAAGGTGGAGTTCATCAATACCAGAGCTGCTATCATCAAACACAGCGTGCGGTCCTTCACAACCTGCACAACACAGCACTGGACGTACAGGGCTCCGTTTCCTTCCCAAGGGAGGTACCAAAACAACTAGCCATATTTCCGAAATATACTTTGAAATCTCGTAATCTGGACGATACCGTTTTCAGCGAATTCGTCCGGATTAACAAATGTCCAGATTAACGAAACATATGTTTATAGCAATGTCTCTATACATGAACGTCCTGGTCGACGGCGTCAGGGGGGCTGAGTGTGCAATAACGGAGTCAGGTCTATTGCAGTGTCACTGTGTATAATTAACCCGCAGAGAAGGACAATCATTTTAAAGTCCAAAATTATGAAAGATTATTAAACAGTTCGTGAAGATTAGTGTGATAAGTCCATGCGAGTATCTTTCAGTATTTACACATTCATACCACTTGACGGAAAGTTCTTGTCATCGTGCAGACTGAGTTCACTGTCAGTTAATGATGATAAAAGTGATGGAGAATATACCCGTTTCTTCATCTGGAGGCTGGCGGTGATGACGGCGTACACTCGCCAGGTCTTGGCAAACAGCGCACCGAATGCCAGAGAAAAACCCAGTAGAAGCAGGAAGGCCTTAACCTTCAAACAAACACTTGGTTATTGCAAACTTATGCTTACTGAGCTAGGCTGGGTATTTCAAACTACCAAGCAGAAAAGAAGCACACTCCCACCCAAAACCATTGCTGAACGGCTTCCACTCACTCTCCATATACATGTGCCTTGCCCGACACAAGCCGAGTCAACGTGGCTGCAGTTGTATATTGCGTGCTTAGGAGTGTAAACTTCAAGCATGAAAAAACTACAAATGTGAAACGGCAAATAATAGATTCAGATATAACTGAGATATGTAACAGAGAATTGCACAGTCAAAGATATCACTAAAGGAAGCATGTCCACTGATCAACGTTAATTCCCGCCAAAGTAAGAGAGATAATTGGGAGATAAACACACCGTATTGTTTTACGCCGCAATCAGCAATATTTAAACTACAGCATATGGCTGTCTGTAAACAAATTAGTCTGTGACAGGAAAACCAGTAGTAGACAGCATGAGCAACGTTCAGGATTGCTGAGCACGATGACACCCAATAATCCACGTCATACATTTTGACCACCCGATCCTCATTTAGTCGGATCGTGCGACCGGTATGGACTTATTTTACACACCTGGCAGAATCGGCTGTTGTGAGTGTTGGCGATGTCCTCTGTGATGACGCTGATGTAGGCGAGGAAACAACCCATGAGGATGATGTTGTTGATTGTGGGAGATGACATTCGTATAATCCTGTATCAAATATCATGTCAAACACCGTTGTGTCGAACTCTGATGTGTCGAACTTAAGGTTGTCCCGAAGTAAAAGCTGAGTCCCATCAGTAAATGTAACTCATTAAGTTCATTTTTCGGTTGTGTCAAACCTTGGATAACTCGCAGTATTTGCGTAAGTCTCTTTAATTTCGACACAACGGTGTTTGACTGCCAATACACACCATCGAGAACTGAATATTTTATACCTCGTGTGGGAGTTTTAATCTTATTGTTCACAGTCTAAACCTGTTGTGAGAAGAGGAAAAGATCAAGTTATATCCTGTTATGCATATATCATAGTGAGAAGTAAATATTCACGTGACAGTTACATTTTTCGTGCTGAATTCAGAGATGACTGACAAGTCATTCACTTGAACAATACAGGAGGAAGTATCTTTATTGAGTTTGTGTCAAAATATGCGTGCAGTTAGAGCGTTAATATCTAGCGTGTCTTCCTTCTTTGTACACTAGTAGGTACTCGTAGACTTGTAGCTAGAGTCGTAGCTAGTGGAAGTCGACATTCCAGTAGAAAAGCTAGACCTGCAGTGAATTCACGTGCTGAAATTTATTAAGCAAGACTGCACCACACAGAAGACGCGCTGAACAGCGTCAGTGTTTTTTTCAACAGCAACCACATTAACTCTACACATCAGCTCAAAATGTTCCTGGTATTTAACAATAAATAAAAGCGATAAAACACTTTGCATATCCATAAGAAATCTAAAAAAAATAAATCCTCGGAATAACACAAGTGTTTGTTGGATAACGCTGTAGACAATTGATTTACCTTTATATTGTTTCTATTTTGACAGTTATCGAGATAATAATATTACAATGATTTGTGACGTGTGTGGGATTCGAACACATAAAACCTGTACCGAAGATAAGACCTTTCAGCAAGGGTTGATCGACACGTCAACATAGATACTTTATCGTGAACTTGTGTGACAGTGCTTATCCGACTGGGAGATCTTGTCGGGAGCTGACGTACCTCAACCCAGCCTTTTTTGCTGTTGGTTTCATTTTTAATTTATATCTTTTTCATATATTTTTCAACTGTCATATGTTTAGTTAAAAAAATTATTTCTTACAGGAGATATAAATATTATTTGCAGCATCTTTAAGGATGTTAACAAAACGTACAAGCTTTTAAAATATTTACCCGTGTTTAAATAATAATGAATCCCTGAATTTGGTATTCTCGCATATTCTCACAATTTGAATGTCGATTATCTGTATTTTTGTCCCAATACAGATTGTTATATTTCTCCCACGTTTGGATGTGATTGTTCGGCCATGGCAGTTACCTACGTTGCCAAGCTACAACTACGGGGAACAACCAGATACTTCCCTCTCAAAAGTAACGTCGTCCAGTTTCCGACGTCATCAAGTTGCAAGCGCATGTTCACGATAGAACAATGTTTTATCGCCAATATACCACGCTTCGTTCTTCATTGCTCTTTGTGATTTGTCGCGTAGCTATCTTATATTATCCAATACTTGCTCTGGTCACTATGCAGTTGAAAACTTGTTGTTATAATGTTTACTGTGAACTCAATGAATATTGTAATGAGGAACGTCTTACTTCTCGTTCCTATAGATGATGTTAAACGACAGGAAGGTGACGGTGAGGATACCCCCGAGACAGGCTAGAGTCGTCATGATGGCGTAGAGGGGCTCAGACAGGGACAGGTACTCTTGCCGGACCTGTCTTGTGTCCACCGGCGTGTCTCCTGGGATGAAGGATAGCGAGACTCAGTGTGTATACATCGTAATCTCACATAGCAGAGTTATATTATGTCGTCATCATCATTACTGATCATTCGCTGCACAACCTTCACTGACGAGGTTTATAGGCCGCCATTTGGTCAAAACATACAAAGTATGACGGACAAACGTACGCAATACATAGTCGAATGTTACGAATAAAGAACGAATGTTGCAAATAACGGTCGTTATTTACATACGAATAATGAATTCAAAATACGAAACAAATACCTATGAACAATTCGCAAACAAAAGACGTCATATGTAAAGAAAGAACAATGTTTATTAAAGAACGTTAGTGCACCAAAAGGACACTACACTGCTAAAGGTCCATGTTGATAATATAGAACGTCAGTGCACCAAAAGGACACTACACTGCTAAAGGTCCATGTTGATAATATAGAACGTCAGTGCACCAAAAGGAGACTACACTGCTAAAGGTCAATGTTGATAATATAGAACGTCAGTGCACCAAAAGGACACTACACTGCTAAAGGTCCATGTTGATAATATAGAACGCCAGTGCACCAAAAGGACACTACACTGCTAAAGGTCCATGTTGATAATATAGAACGTCAGTGCACCAAAAGGACACTACACTGCTAAAGGTCCATGTTGATAATATAGAACGTCAGTGCACCAAAAGGACACTACACTGCTCAAGGTCCATGTTGATAATATAGAACGTCAGTGCACCAAAAGGACACTACACTGCTAAAGGTCCATGTTGATAATATAGAACGCCAGTGCACCAAAAGGACACTACACTGCTAAAGGTCCATGTTGATAATATAGAACGTCAGTGCACCAAAAGGACACTACACTGCAAAAGGTCCATGTTGATAATATAGAACGCCAGTGCACCAAAAGGACACTACACTGCTAAAGGTCCATGTTGATAATATAGAACGCCAGTGCACCAAAAGGACACTACACTGCTAAAGGTCCATGTTGATAATATAGAACGTCAGTGCACCAAAAGGACACTACACTGCTAAAGGTCCATGTTGATAATATAGAACGTCAGTGCACCAAAAGGACACTACACTGCTAAAGGTCCATGTTGATAATATAGAACGTCAGTGCACCAAAAGGACACTACACTGCTAAAGGTCCATGTTGATAATATAGAACGTCAGTGCACCAAAAGGACACTACACTGCTAAAGGTCCATGTTGATAATATAGAACGTCAGTGCACCAAAAGGACACTACACTGCTAAAGGTCCATGTTGATAATATCGAACGTCAGTGCACCAAAAGGACACTACACTGCTAAAGGTCCATGTTGATAATATAGAACGCCAGTGCACCAAAAGGACACTACACTGCTCAAGGTCCATGTTGATAATATAGAACGTCAGTGCACCAAAAGGACACTACACTGCTAAAGGTCCATGTTGATAATATAGAACGCCAGTGCACCAAAAGGACACTACACTGCTAAAGGTCCATGTTGATAATATAGAACGTCAGTGCACCAAAAGGACACTACACTGCTAAAGGTCCATGTTGATAATATAGAACGCCAGTGCACCAAAAGGACACTACACTGCTCAAGGTCCATGTTGATAATATAGAACGCCAGTGCACCAAAAGGACACTACACTGCTCAAGGTCCATGTTGATAATATAGAACGTCAGTGCACCAAAAGGACACTACACTGCTAAAGGTCCATGTTGATAATATAGAACGCCAGTGCACCAAAAGGACACTACACTGCTAAAGGTCCATGTTGATAATATAGAACGTCAGTGCACCAAAAGGACACTACACTGCAAAAGGTCCATGTTGATAATATAGAACGCCAGTGCACCAAAAGGACACTACACTGCTAAAGGTCCATGTTGATAATATAGAACGCCAGTGCACCAAAAGGACACTACACTGCTAAAGGTCAATGTTGATAATATAGAACGTCAGTGCACCAAAAGGACACTACACTGCTAAAGGTCCATGTTGATAATATAGAACGTCAGTGCACCAAAAGGACACTACACTGCTAAAGGTCCATGTTGATAATATAGAACGTCAGTGCACCAAAAGGACACTACACTGCTAAAGGTCCATGATGATAATATAGAACGTCAGTGCACCAAAAGGACACTACACTGCTAAAGGTCCATGTTGATAATATCGAACGTCAGTGCACCAAAAGGACACTACACTGCTAAAGGTCCATGTTGATAATATAGAACGCCAGTGCACCAAAAGGACACTACACTGCTCAAGGTCCATGTTGATAATATAGAACGTCAGTGCACCAAAAGGACACTACACTGCTAAAGGTCCATGTTGATAATATAGAACGCCAGTGCACCAAAAGGACACTACACTGCTAAAGGTCAATGTTGATAATATAGAACGTCAGTGCACCAAAAGGACACTACACTGCTAAAGGTCCATGTTGATAATATAGAACGTCAGTGCACCAAAAGGACACTACACTGCTAAAGGTCAATGTTGATAATATAGAACGCCAGTGCACCAAAAGGACACTACACTGCTAAAGGTCCATGTTGATAATATACAACGCCAGTGCACCAAAAGGACACTACACTGCTCAAGGTCCATGTTGATAATATAGAACGTCAGTGCACCAAAAGGACACTACACTGCTAAAGGTCCATGTTGATAATATAGAACGCCAGTGCACCAAAAGGAGACTACACTGCTAAAGGTCCATGTTGATAATATAGAACGTCAGTGCACCAAAAGGACACTACACTGCTAAAGGTCCATGTTGATAATATAGAACGTCAGTGCACCAAAAGGACACTACACTGCTAAAGGTCCATGTTGATAATATAGAACGTCAGTGCACCAAAAGGACACTACACTGCTAAAGGTCCATGTTGATAATATAGAACGTCAGTGCACCAAAAGGACACTACACTGCTAAAGGTCCATGTTGATAATATAGAACGTCAGTGCACCAAAAGGACACTACACTGCTAAAGGTCCATGTTGATAATATAGAACGCCAGTGCACCAAAAGGACACTACACTGCTAAAGGTCCATGTTGATAATATAGAACGCCAGTGCACCAAAAGGACACTACACTGCTAAAGGTCCATGTTGATAATATAGAACGTCAGTGCACCAAAAGGACACTACACTGCTAAAGGTCCATGTTGATAATATAGAACGTCAGTGCACCAAAAGGACACTACACTGCTAAAGGTCCATGTTGATAATATAGAACGTCAGTGCACCAAAAGGACACTACACTGCTAAAGGTCCATGTTGATAATATAGAACGTCAGTGCACCAAAAGGACACTACACTGCTAAAGGTCCATGTTGATAATATCGAACGTCAGTGCACCAAAAGGACACTACACTGCTAAAGGTCCATGTTGATAATATAGAACGTCAGTGCACCAAAAGGACACTACACTGCTCAAGGTCCATGTTGATAATATAGAACGTCAGTGCACCAAAAGGACACTACACTGCTAAAGGTCCATGTTGATAATATAGAACGCCAGTGCACCAAAAGGACACTACACTGCTAAAGGTCCATGTTGATAATATAGAACGTCAGTGCACCAAAAGGACACTACACTGCTCAAGGTCCATGTTGATAATATAGAACGTCAGTGCACCAAAAGGACACTACACTGCTAAAGGTCCATGTTGATAATATAGAACGCCAGTGCACCAAAAGGACACTACACTGCTAAAGGTCCATGTTGATAATATAGAACGTCAGTGCACCAAAAGGACACTACACTGCTAAAGGTCCATGTTGATAATATAGAACGTCAGTGCACCAAAAGGACACTACACTGCTAAAGGTCCATGTTGATAATATAGAACGTCAGTGCACCAAAAGGACACTACACTGCTAAAGGTCCATGTTGATAATATAGAACGTCAGTGCACCAAAAGGACACTACACTGCTAAAGGTCCATGTTGATAATATAGAACGTCAGTGCACCAAAAGGACACTACACTGCTAAAGGTCCATGTTGATAATATCGAACGTCAGTGCACCAAAAGGACACTACACTGCTAAAGGTCCATGTTGATAATATAGAACGTCAGTGCACCAAAAGGACACTACACTGCTAAAGGTCCATGTTGATAATATAGAACGTCAGTGCACCAAAAGGACACTACACTGCTAAAGGTCCATGTTGATAATATAGAACGTCAGTGCACCAAAAGGACACTACACTGCTAAAGGTCCATGTTGATAATATAGAACGTCAGTGCACCAAAAGGACACTACACTGCTAAAGGTCCATGTTGATAATATAGAACGCCAGTGCACCAAAAGGACACTACACTGCTAAAGGTCCATGTTGATAATATAGAACGTCAGTGCACCAAAAGGACACTACACTGCAAAAGGTCCATGTTGATAATATAGAACGCCAGTGCACCAAAAGGACACTACACTGCTAAAGGTCCATGTTGATAATATAGAACGCCAGTGCACCAAAAGGACACTACACTGCTAAAGGTCCATGTTGATAATATAGAACGCCAGTGCCCCAAAAGGACACTACACTGCTAAAGGTCCATGTTGATAATATAGAACGTCAGTGCACCAAAAGGACACTACACTGCTAAAGGTCCATGTTGATAATATAGAACGTCAGTGCACCAAAAGGACACTACACTGCTAAAGGTCCATGTTGATAATATAGAACGTCAGTGCACCAAAAGGAGACTACACTGCTAAAGGTCCATGTTGATAATATAGAACGTCAGTGCACCAAAAGGACACTACACTGCTAAAGGTCCATGTTGATAATATCGAACGTCAGTGCACCAAAAGGACACTACACTGCTAAAGGTCCATGTTGATAATATAGAACGTCAGTGCACCAAAAGGACACTACACTGCTAAAGGTCCATGTTGATAATATAGAACGTCAGTGCACCAAAAGGACACTACACTGCTAAAGGTCCATGTTGATAATATAGAACGTCAGTGCACCAAAAGGACACTAC